GTTGTAAAGTATTCTCGTAGCTTCATAAAATGACGGTTGAACCCCTAATGTCACATGGATTATTTTACCGATCTCCTTGCTACGTTTCTGGATGTTGATCGTGTTACTTACATTGCTGTCTGTTGGGGGGTCAGAGAGCTCTCAGAATACATTAAAAATATCTTAATTTGTGTTCCGAAGATGAACAGAGGTCTTACGGGTTTGGAACGACATGAGGGTGAGTAATTAATGACAATTTTCATTTTGGGGTGGGGAGTAACCCTTTAACCACCCTTTCAAGCTTTAGGAAAAATCATCAGCCAATAGAAGTGCCAGATGAGACTGGGGGCGTGTCCTTACGATTCCTTTGGATCCCATGGGGTCTGTTGTCTTCAGGACATTTCGGTTTGAGGAACTGTAAAACAGTACAGACTCTTCACAGCTAAACACTAACTCACACAACATCCTCTAACGGTTTTTGTGTTTAAATTCAGAGATTATGCTTGACGTGATTGTTTTTTGTGTGTGCGATAATGTGACTTTCAGTGGTCAAGTCATTCAGTTGATCAGTATCTTGAACAACGTCTGCTTTGAAGTTCTCAGACTGGAAAGACTCGTCTGCGTGAGCATGTGTCCTACTAAACTTCCAGATGGCGAATTTTAAGATGTTTTTTAATTTGAATTTATTTATCTGTTGTTTGAAAAATACACTTCTGAAAGCATGTCATTTGTAATTGTCCGTCGGATAAAAAGCAGTTCGGGAACCCTCAAGCTGGTTCAGATCTCTCATATCTGCATGTGTGTCCAGTTCCAGAGCTTTTATACAAGGAGGCGGGCTGAAGCTGAATGCGGAAGGCGGGGCTTAAGCAAATTAGCATGTAGGCTGTAGAACGCACATGCGCATCAAGTAAAATTTTGGTACGCTGAGCAGTTTTTATTGGGCTTTTATACATTTGTGACCGTTTACTTGTGTGTAGGAGTCAATTCACGTTTATTGTTGCAACTGTTGTGATTTAACACGATGCATTTTTACTAATCCTACTGATATAATTTCCCAGAAATACCTTAATACTCAGAAAGGAAATGTATGATGGTTAAAATTATTGTGCCAGATCATTTTCACACTTTAAACGTAACACTTTTTACGCAGTTTAGCCAATTCGCCATTAATTAACCTCAAATCAGCTGATTGGCCGAAGGTTTCATTCCATTCTACCAATCGCAACAAGCCGCTTATGATGTGCAA